TAAGTCCCGAAGCATAAATCTACAACTGCATATAATACCTTCACTTTGCATATTGCTCGCCGCAATTTTTTTACATTTTTTTTCTGTGCATTTACACATAATAAAATACATCCGTCAACTCTTTCGGTAACCTATATAGGAACCATCAGATTCACGCATTTTAAAGACGGCAGTTCGATTGTGGACAGTTCCGGTGGAGTTGCGCAATAGGCATAATATGCAAAAAATGGAGCCTCGTTAAGCCAATCAATGTCACATTGGCAATCCAATTTGCAACCTGTAATGCAAATTACAGAGTGAGTGTGAGCTATTCAAGCTCGCAGAATGCACATAGCATGCAGCTTTACAGGTAGTTCCACCCACGTAGTTCTTCGCTGCGGACGATTGTTGCGTACGTGACGATACGTGCCCGTGTATAAAGGTACAATTAATACACGAAGTGTGACAAAACCAACCACATTTAATAAATAAACAAAATGTTAATAACAAAAAACGACTACACTTGCCTCCTAGGTGAATGGTTACTCTAGATGATGTGAGTTCAGTCAGATTAAACACGTCCTTGTCGATAGATGTCAAGCGCTCGTTGCTGAACAAATAGATAGACTCGATCATTGGCAACCCATGGAAGCCGCCCGGTTCGATGAAGCTTATCGCATTCCAAACAATCGTAAGGTACTGATGTGAAAATGTAATAAAAAATTAACAATGATTTGATCAACAGAATGGTGCAATATAGTATACAGGCAAACAATATTGAATATATAGGATTAATGACTAAGTCAATGTGGTGACGTTACTAGACTATCTTCGACACACAACCACGGCAGTAACTTGAATAATAACAAGAGCGTATAAAGAAGGTCTTCTTTATAAAAAAAGGCATTCTTTCTTAAAGAAGGCCTTCTTTATACGCTCTTGATAATAAGCATCTACAAAGATTTAATAATGCTTTTCGGCTGTGTTTACGCTCTTACAATACCACGTATCACTGACTCGACTACGGGTGTTTGTACGTACGGTCACGCTACTCAGTCCTCTGAATGTGCCAGCTACGATGGTGACGAGGTTGTTGCTATTAATGTAAACTGTATGTGCTGCCGTTGCACCCTCAAAGACTCCAGCAGCAATGCTCGAAATCCGGTTGTTTTGAAGGTTTAGAAAATTAAGCTTCTTGAGGCCGGCAAAGGTTCCTGCTGAGACCGTGTACAGGTGGTTGGACTCAAGGTATAGTGTTGTGATTTCATCTAGATCTTTGAATGTTCCCGGTGCAATATACTCGATGGCATTAACTGACAAATCGAGGTGCTGTGGAAGCGTAAATAAATAAATGAATAAATAAATAAATAAATAAATAAAAACAATCAATAATCACAAAATTTAAAAAAACAAATAAATGTATACATATACGCACGTGCGTATGCATCCACACACACACAACACGCACGCACGCACGCACGCACATGTATATATATGGGATATAGATATCCACTGTCTCTACCTGGTATATCCACAGCAGGACCTCAGGGATAGGGTTTACCTCGAGTTTCTTCAGACCCCGCAGCGCCTGAGGGGAGATGTAGGTAATCGCGTTATTGCTCAAACCTAGCCAAGTCAGATTGCTAGCGTCCATAAAGCAACCGTCGTCTATTGTCTTAATGAAATTGTGATACATAGTCAGATATTCTGAAAACAAACGGAGGACGACAAATTAGAATCGAGAGCAGTACGAACGCTCATGACACCATGAAAGCGTAAAAGTCTGGCATAGACGGATACAAATGTACTCAAGCCTGGCATAGGCGGAAGAAATCAGAAAACATACCCAAGCCTGGCATAGTTGGGAACATCTGGCATGGTATTGCGGACATCGCCGTGTGCGTTACGATAAAGTAACGAAGCCCTCCGATTCCAGCGAACGCGTCTGCGTGTATAATGGTCAGATTTCCTCCGTAGAGCAGGTGTATCCTATCGATGGTTAAGCCGGCGAACGCTCTACCGGGTATCTGCTCAAAGCCGAAGTTTTTCATCCAGAACTTGTCGATCGTCGTCGGTCGTGGAATCCCAGCGATGATGTCAAACACTTGCGAACCGTCTCCAGGTAGTAAGCTAACATCGCAGATGATGAGCGCGCCAGTACTATACTCTGAGCAGGTGCAAGGATACAGGCTGGAGGCGGAGGGGCAGTAGCCAGCTCTCGCGCCTCCCGCTAGCAGGATAACAGCGAAAATCAGAAGAATACTCATGACTATCGATATGAAGGCTACGTTCGGCGGCGATCGGTTTAAATAGGTAATTCATGTGAAGCGGGACAGCTGCTGCTGCTTGT